TATGTCTCAGGGTGCTGGGCGCAGTGGCAGTGCCCCTTAGATCTTGGTGGTACTGCAACTGCTATGGGGCGTACGACTTATTCGTCCCGTTTGGTATCTTCGTATTATGTCATTTTATTATTAATGGTGCGATGACAGAGTTGGCAATAAAATTGATGAAAGAATTTTTCTTACATGATGTACCAATGGGATCAGAACCGGTTTATTCTAAAATAGCTCCGTACCCCGCATTAGAACAAGTGTATCATAAGTAACAACAATTATCATATTGTAATACTACGTCAGTGTAAAGGTAGGACAGCATTGTTGCGTAATTCGTGGCTACTGCCCTTTCCAAGCGGTTATGGCGATATTATAGTAAGTGAAACTGACTGTCAGCCGTGACCATTAGACCTGTGAAGGTTGGTTTGTGTGAAAAACCAAAGATACTAAAACCTTAGAACTCAATATTATATGAATTAAGAAAATCATTATTTTAAGTCCTATGTACAGCAGTAGCACCTGCTGGGAAATCTAGTAACAAATGTAATGACGAATCGGTATGCCGATAAAACATAAAAATGTTTACTACTTAGACACCTTTCTGCAATCACCATTATAGCCTAGCAAGACCATAAAAATGCTTTTGACTGTATAGATTCCAGCCAATTTAATAACCCATAAATATGTACATAAACATCTTGCTTTATATAAAAGTGTTAAAAAAGAATCAAGGATATTATGAACACTGTTTTCAAGGCAGACATTGTTATTATTTTATATTTTACGATAAATTTAATATAACGTTAGTAATAACACCGATAGGTGGCGTTGTTTTAAATTTAATTATTGGCTTTTATGTATCGTGCGGTACAAGTACTTCTAGTTTTATGTAACTGAATTAAGTTTTTGCACTTTGTATTTTTTTTACAGCTACAGAACAAAGGACTTTTAATGTTATTACCAGATTGTAACAATAGAATTCGTGCTTTGAAAATGTTTACATACTAATTCCAAACATTTGAGCTCTTGTTTTCCTAATGGTTTACGTATTTGTTTAGACAAAGAAATGCTTCAGTTTCTCGCATTAATGGACTCTTGTAGAGCAAAAAACTAAAGCATTAAAGCAAGCAGTAAAGTCTAACGATCGTCTGCAAATAACAGTGGCACAGTAAAAACAAACCCTGTATGGTTTTCGAGACGTTAAATATGAGATTGAATTGTTGAAACGTGACAGATAAAGATTATTATAATTGCCATGGAATACTAACCTCAAAACTGCAAATCCGCGGTGTAAGCTTGCCACAAAATGTTATTTAAAAATAAAGAAATCACAATCACACTGGATAGAATAGCAATTGTTTGGTGTTTAAGTTGTGTATTTTGTAATGATAAGTGTGTTCTGCCGTGTGACGCGTTCTAGCGTCACGAACAAGCGGCGCGCTCGGTGTCGCCGACAAGACTGGCTATCTCTGCCGACCGGTTGTAGGAAAATTGGAAATTTTGCGGTCTGTTGTACGCGATGTAACTGCGAAATTAATAATTTTACACTAATTTGCTCTGTAACTAATTTTTTTTTAAAGAATGATAATTTGTTTGCCAAGAGAGCAATGCACTTATTTTATTATGAAACTAATTTAAATTGAAGATTTAGGGTCGTATTCCAGAACTCTACTCAATGCTCAAGTCAGGACTTGAGTATGATTCAAAGCACTAGAAATCATACTCAAGTCCTTGCCATTAGGGTCGTATTTCCAGTGCTTGAAATCATATTCAAGTCTGCTCAAATCCTGACTTGAGCATTGAGTAGAGTTCTGGAATACGACCCCTAGTTTTCATCAAAACTTATGTTTACATTGAGTAATTCAGCGTTATCGCATAAACTAACATTGTCTAACAACAACATACCTTGCTAATATTTGTTTTAATGGAGGTAATCAAGCGTGAACTTCACCTTGCCTAATAACGTAGTCATCCTTGATTATGAATTAGAATTAGTGATCGAACAACATTTAACCTCAAATCGAGGTATGTCTCATGGTTACACATCATTTGTAATAAATCTGAGATTTTGATCTCAAAATAGGCACACCTAGTATATTTAACAGAGTTTTTTAATTATCACTAAAATTGTCTTGGTAAATATATTTTGATATTCACAAAATTAATTGGAACAAAATACTACCGCTAGCAATATGTATTTATTTATTATAGTTTTTTTACTTTTTGTCATTTTTAGTCAAAATTAAAGAGACAAAACCCATAGACTAGTAAGGATAATTATTTGATAGTTATCATGATAATTATCAAAAGAAAAGAGCTTGATAATGTCGAACCCTGATATTTAACTACACTGCAAGGAAATAGTACGGGAATAATAATTTATTTTTAATCATTCTGGGACTTCAGAGGGAGGTATTATCCTCTCGTATGTAACCCAAAACCAAGTTTAAAATTATCTATATATCTATATGTATATCTACATAACAAAAACGTTCGTTAATTAAGTTTTACACAACAGAACTAATCCCAATGTCATAAATGGTTTTAACATTATTTTTAAAAAATATCCATGAGACTAGAATACGATTAGAATTAGCATAGAAATTACACGTTGTAATTGTGTTTACAGTATTATGTAGTAAATCCAAATTAATGCCAGGGAACGTGTTAATATATCGATTTTCGTCATTATTTACTATTAATTAAAAACACTTCTGTTGATTGCCAATATTTTATTGTAGGCCTCTAAAGCCCTCTAATACTAACGACGATCTATAGCAGTCTATCTTAAAGGGCTTAAACCCCAATATAATATGCATAATGTACATATAAATATAATGTATAATAATAATTATACAACCCATAATACGATATCTATATTAACTAATTACGTTAAAGCTACAATGTATTTAATTATTACCCTTACATGTATTTGTTGTAATTATTACCCCTACTGTAGTCGTAAGATTATTAATTCTGTACCGTCCATGTGAAAAGACACCAAAACAAAAAGCATAAATTTCAAACTTATATCACTTCTTCCTACGGGCATTTGTGGCGAGCCGCTGTACGCATGCGCGCGACCACGGCCTTGCCTGGCAACACTGAATTTCAGCCGTCGTCCATTGCGCGGTCACCACACATTGTCCGACGTGAGTGAATCATGACCACCAATGTATACGAAACGTGAACAAGCAATATAAAAAAAAAGGAAAAATGTTTGTGACGTTTTATGATTGAGATCCCCATTAGTTCAAGTGGTTGTTTAAATATTTCTGTAAATACAAGTCTATGGAAGTAGGTTATAGGAAGGTTGGTTGATTTAGTGAGAATCAATAGATGCTCGTTGAAGGGATAGCTACGTAGTTTGGTTCTGGTCTAGTAGTACTAATAGCAGAGAAGTTCTGCCACGTTACCTATTTCTGCCGCCAAGCAGTAATACCAGCATTACTGTGTTCTCGTTTTGAAGGGAAAGGCTGGTGATGAAATTACAGGCACATGGGACTTGTCAACTTGTCTGAGCGTGACGGGAGCAGTGGCAATGCTCCTCAGATCATTGCGATTTAAAGGCCTGAGTGGCACTGCAACTGTTATGGACAGGCGTGCAGCTTACCATCAGGCGCACGTCTTGTTCGTCCCGTCACTAGATTATATAAAAATATAGGTTTTCTTTGTTGTGCCCCAGAATGTTGTGAATTCTGTGACTCTGTTACTCATGGTTCAGGGAATGCCCTGGTTTGAAACCAGGCAATGGGTCTGGTTGTCTGGAACTTGTATTTATTTATAGTGTAGTAAGAGAGCGTTCTGGTTCGAAAGATGATGAATTGACCAGGGTATATAGGGATGCTTCGATGATTTGGTCATGTAGAAATAATAATAACGCACACACTCAACATAGCCCCGCACTAGGGAAACCCTGTGTCGCGGGTGCTATGAACACACGTATAGACAACCACAAATTACACCAAAACGCACGAAAGAAATAAATGTAGGCCATGCAAATATTTCTCCCGGCCCGGGAATCCAACCTGGGACCTCTGTATAGCAGTCCGGCGCGTAGTAACCGAGATTCATGGTCTGTGGCCATCTCTTTTTTCTTTTTTTTATAATACTAAGTGACGGGACGAACATGTCATGCACCTGATAGTAAGCGACACGCCTATCCGTAACAGTTGCAGTGCCCCTCAGCTTTAAATCGTAAAAATCTTAGGGGCACTGCATTTGCGCTTGTCACCCTGAGACATAAGTTGACAAGCCTATCATGTGCCTGTAATTTCACCACCACCCTTATTCTTCCAAACCGGAACGCAGTAATGCTCATATTACTGCTTGGCGGCAGAAATATGTCAGGTGGCAGTAGTTCCCTGGACGAACTCTTTCACAAGAAGCTCTACTGCTACTAAAATATCGGTGGTAAACAGGCGCGATAATATGTGTGTCAGGTTTACTCAAACTAATTCTGGTTTTAACTGCACAGCTGCTGGTTAGTATGAAAGCAGAAGTTACTGTTAAGAAAGTAAAGTATACTTTTAAATTAAATATTTTATTAACAAAAAAGGAAATAACAAAAGTAACAGCTTATACAACTATATTTATATGAAAGTAATGAACCTTTTTAGGCAATTGGTTCTAGGAACGATTTATGGCGGAAACTACTTCTATATTAAAAAATACACACAAAAACATATAGAAAACCTCATTTGAAGGAGCCATCGCACTTATTAACGCTGAATCGAATTAAGCCGCCCGAAAAAACTTTATGACAATGCAATAAGAATGAAAAGGGCGTGCATGGGGACGGCGTATACCCGACGTTTGGCACTATTCAGTAGTTGCTCAGTGCTGGCCATTGCGTCGCCGCCACGTGGACGTCGTGTCGACGCAGTGCGTGTGTTGGCAAGACGCTGACGCTTGAAAGACGCTAGTGTGGAAGGTCTCTTAGCTCCCGCTCGAACTGCAGACGCACAATGCACGTTTTTTTCGGTCTTTTCACATTGACATAAAGCTTCTGACGGTCTTAATATCGATACGGTGTATAATAACTACCTGATCCGTGATTGTAATTAGAAATCGATGGTAAACAAATTATACAGTTAAGTTTTTTATAAACGATCATGAAAAACAAAGTATGAATGATCAACACCTAAACAAAATAATAAATACGAAAACAAATGTAAAAACTTTTGGTGAAATTCAATTTCAGTCCTTATGTATATTTACCTACATCCCATATTCTTATAGACGAAAAAAAATCACAAATCCACAGCCTTTTTCATACTTTTATATCTTTTCAAAATTCTAGCTCTCGCAAGATAATTTATAGAGATCACAAAGATAACGTTACATATGTATATAAAAAAAATAGTTTTTCTTAACATAATTGTAACTTAAAGAATATATAAATATGGCGTTTTTATAAATGATTTTAAATAAAAAATGTTTACTTCTTCTTTTTCGTTTTCAACAATCGCTTTGCCGGCGGAATTTCAATTCTATGTATATCGGAACAGTGTCTTTTCAATTCCGCATACTTCCTAAACTTACTGTCACAAATCAAACAATCTACAACCATCTTTCTTACATTGTGAACTAACCATTCGTGGTCCCACTTCTCCTTCAAAGTCTTATAATAATTAAAACAAAACCGACACCTAAATTTACTGCAGATCTCTTTTGTGTGCGCACTCTTTACGTGTTTATTTAACATAGATTCAAAATGAAACTCCCTGTCGCAATACATGCAAGGAATAGGGTTATTTGTGTTATGGTAATCGATGTGCCTTATGAGCATTTTTTTAGAGTTGAATTTACGTTGGCATATATCGCATTGGAAGTAGATCGCGCCGTGAATTTTTTTGTGCTTAGAAAAGTTTGACGAGTCGCTAAAGGATTTGTTGCAGAACGTACATTTGTATATAGTTAGTTTCGCGTGTTCTCGTAAGTGAGCTTTGTACCTGTCTACGAAGTTGAAGGACGCGTTGCAGACTTCGCACTGTAGGTTGAGTATGCCGGATTTGTTGACTGGACTCTTGGCCAAAGTGACCCGGACCACGTGCTCTATTAGGTGACGCTTAAGGTCGCTTATCCTGTCGAAGCTTTTGCCGCAGACGTTGCACACCTGGAAATTGACACTTTAGTCATATCTTTATGTATTAAAAATATTTTTATTAAATTTGACCAACTTCCGCTGTCCCGGTTTTTTCTTACAATACAATAAAATGATCCTTACATTAAAATGAGTCGATCAGCACCGAAAAAAAATGTTGGTCAATTTTATTCATTTTGAGTTGTAGAACTCACGCTTGAAATTGTTTTCACAAGAAAACATTTAATGGTTCCTAACATTGACTCACAATTATATGGACGTCGGGTCCGTGCTAAAAAGTGTCCGAACTTATAGGGCGTTAAAATCGTATACAGAGCGTCATTCACGCTTTAGTCTTCGTTTGTTCGACTGACTGCGAAGCAAGCAAAATTAGACAGTACTGCGATGACGTTACAATTTCAATTCAATGTTTTAGCTTTTTCATATTCCTTTACATGTCACTACGTTTAAATAGGTTGACTTGGGACATTTTTTTCGTGGTTTTTGTATTAGACCCGTCGTCCATTTATTTGTAAGTCAATTGTTCCTAAGACAATTTTTTGTATCTTCTATGGTTTCGGATTTAACCATACTGTCCAATTAAAAAAAAACTGATTTTAAGACAACACCACATACGTTGCTCCAATTCCATAACTAAAGTACTTGTGTTATGGTAATCGGAAACTACTACAGTACAAAGACTCGAGACAATTTACAAAAGTTCGTTTTTCCACATTGACCCAGCCGGAGATATTCTAAGGTTGACATTTATAGAACAAAGCTTAAGCAAGAAATTACAAAGTAAACTCAAACTTTAATTTAATGTCTTGCTTAAAACTTGAATTGTTGAGCAAAACAACCCGACGTCGTTATTCCGTAGCATGGCTAGGCGCTGACGTGTATTTAAGCGTAATTTAATAATAAAAAAGATCCTTATAAAGATCGAACAACTTAAAGAAAAAACCTTTGATTTGGCTGGACTCGAACCAGAGTCTGTTGCCACACCGGGGCCGCCGCTCTTACCAACTGAGCTACGTAGAGTCAGCAGACCTTACCGAGTTCTCTATGTGCTTTTTGCACATCTTTGTATTAGGTTCAAACGGTTTTTCGCCGTCAATAAAGTGACGATATTCAATATAAAAAATCGACCTCATAAGTATGTGGAATTACATCTATTTGCCAAGTTTTGTTGAAGATTTACCGGAAAGTGCGCGAAACCCGATTCATCCCCTAGCTTGCAACCCTTAAGAGATGGAATATTTTCTCGAAATGTAAATGGGACCAATACTGAGGCACCCTCTTTCCAACAAAACAAGAATCATTAAAATCGGTTCACAAAATGAGCAATCGCGTGACATTGATACAAAAAAAAACAAGCTAATTGAGAACCTCCTTTTTTGAAGTCGGTTAAAAATAAGTAAAGAAGATCCTGATCCATTTGAGATGTATTTATTAATACGGCTAACGTCCACTTGTACTAAACTGAAGTACGTACACGGAATCGTCTCGTTGCAATCGTGTTTAACCACACTTGTCGCATTGAGCCGATTCGCCGTTGACGCAACCGTTCACGCGCCATCGTGCTAAACTAAATCTTCTTTAAATATAGATATTAAATATAAACATTAAATTTATTATTACTATAACACACCTTGCTATACCTCCTGTTTTTCGCAGTCTTCTTACCCAGAAAAGCTTTATTGGACATCACTTTAGCTATCACCGAATCGCCACTCCGATTGTCATAGCATGCCTCGTGGGCTTCATCAGTTTCATCCTGTTTTTCACCTTGGATGTCTTCAGAATCATGAATATCTCTAGGATCCCGTATTATGATATCTGTCTCATCATCCCTAAAATCATCTACACTGTCTTGGTGCTCCTGGTCCATATCGTTCGGGGTGAAATTTTCAATACGTTCGAACTTCCAATCGCGGTCAGACGGATGTATAATATCGCTGTCGTTCGTAACGTCATCGAATAACGAGTGATCTAGTTCTGTTTCGCTGGAAGCCATATAAACACTTTCGTGTGACTGCTGATGGGTTTTTAGATCCGCGTAATCCTCGGTCATATATTCGCAGTGGTCGCAAATAAACATAAAGTGTTTCTTGATCATGTGTGCCCGCATATCTTCGAGGTGGGAATAAGATCTTGTGCAATGTTTGCAAGGGAATTTGCGATTGTGGATCTTACGGTGAACACGGAGAGTGAATTTTGATGCGAATACTTTGTGACATTTATTGCATTCTAGTTCCGGATCGCCGTGACCTAAAAAAGTTTTGAAAAAAATCTATAAAAACCAAACAAGACGTGGAAAGTAAAACATTTCTGTTTTCAGCAGTAGTAGTGCTCCTTGTTCGTCCAGAGAAGTAGGTATTAGCCACCATTTCTGCCGTAAAGCAATAATGTGAGCATTACTGCGCTCCAGTTTTGAAGGGTGAACTCCATGAGACTTAGTAGCACTAGAGCTCCTTGGATGAAAGGCATGTGGAAGAGTTCGTCCTGGGAAATACTGCCATCTTACCTATTTCTGCTGCAATGCAGTAATGTGAGCATTTTTGCATTCCGGTTTTGAAGGATCCTTATCCTGCAACATCCTTATGCTGGTGAAATTACAGGCACTTGAGACTTGTCAACTTATGTCACAAGGTGACGGGTGCAGTGGTAGTCCCTCAGATTTTTGTGATTTATAGCTCTGAGTGGCACTGCAACGGCCATGGACAGGAGTGTCTTATTTCTTGTTCGTCCCGTCACTTGATATAAATAAATACTTAATATAAAAAAATACTTGTAAACTTTGTATTTCATGGTGACCGGTGTAGTTGTAGTTGCCCTTAGACTAAAGCTCGTCGTGGCACTGCAACTGTCATAGATAGGCGTGTCACGAGGCGCACGACTCGCTCGTCCCGTCACTTAATATAATAAAAATATGAAAGTGTATTTATTTCTTTTTCGTATAGTGGAGTCGCACGCGATGATGTCTACAGAGTAAACAATGATGTAATATTTAACCCTTAATAGGTATTACCGTCGTTCGAGGAATTCGAGAAATTATGAATGTGTGAGTGAATTCAGTGGATAGATTTTAGCTATACATGTAAAACACACATTGTTTAGAAAAAAAATTTGATAATTATTATTATTTATAAGAAATTAAAATATTTTTTTGGATCAAAATTGCTAGTATTTATTTTTTCAAACAAACCCAATTTTGTGGCCTATAACTGGTTGATGACTTTACCATCTCAGTCAGTCGTGACCATGGACTTGTAATGGGCCCAAAACGTCGGTTTGTTTAAAAAATAAATACTAGCAATTTAGATCCCAAAAAATAGTGTCATTTGCAATATGTATCAATCGCGCAAACTTGAAAGAACTTAATTATGATTATTAGTATGACTAATAATCACCTTTCACTGTTTACTTAATTTATAATGTTAGCGGTGACATCATAATAAATAAAGTGGTACAATCGAGGGCACATCAATCCTTGACACTTCGGACTTAGGACCGTTATTATCACAAGGTGCATTGAGTTGAATGTAAATCTTAAATATTAAGCTTGAGGTTCTGTGGACCTTGTACTACGTCGGCCTCATATTTTGAAATCTGTAATAAGGTTATATCATGGAAAGTGGAAAAGGAAGAATTCTGTGCCTAGCAACCCCATATCTTCCAAACAGGAAAGTAGATTAAATAGGAAACAGACGAATTGGGAAAAACAAGTGAACCGATCGGGAAAGTAGACGATTAGTGAAAGTGGACCGATCGGAAAACTAGACCGATTGCACCGAAAAGGTTTTGTTTATAGTGACCCTCCCTATCAACCTCTTGGTTATGCGGGAAGAGCATAATAACCTGTGCGCGTACAGGAACCTTATAAGTTTAGGGTCTGACCCCAGATCCGCCAGCGTACAGGGTTGTCACAGACCGTTGTCACTGACTTCATCTTTGTCTCAAGGGGCTATTGCCTCGGGTGAACCGCCCGGGTGCACGTACAGTAACCTCCCTATTTTCTCGACGTACCGGGGCTGTAGGCACGTTCATTTCCCGTTGCGCATTGCACAACTAGCGGTTGCCACTGCTAAGCCGTCGACTCTAAGTCCACTACCAAATCTCCTCATTGTTGGCGGAGCTGTAGGGCAAGCTCACTTCCCGACGCCGAAAAACGGCGTCTCTCCAGTTCCCAATAACGTAAGGGGCTGGAGGGACTGGAGGATATCTAACTTATCTCTCTACTAACTCTGCGGGCTAGTGCCGGGGATGCCGGTCACAGTGTCCTGCGACAATGTCTGGACATAGCTTCCAACTTAAAGGGCAACTCACGTGTCCCGCGCGTCTCCTCGCTTCAGGCCCTCAACTAGACCGCTACTAAGACGCGCTAGCTGCGCACGAGACAGACGCCCCGGCCACAGCACCGGGGCAGACAAACATGTCCGTCTCTGCAGCTCACCACAAACTCCGGAGAGTCCATACCCAAGTCTGAGTCCGCCAGAGACGCCCATGAAGGCGTATCGCTAGCGGAGGGCTTGGCCCGGACCCCCGCCGTACCCTGGTCTAGCCGGCGAGCCTGTAGTCTGTATAGCCGGAATATCCTATCTCTCGGGTCGGTAGATAGGGCTACCTTTCCCTAGCAGTGGGATACAACAGCCTTATATACACATAATAATAAACTTCGTTTATATATTTACAAAGTTGTGGTGGTCTAATAGTTTGATTTGAACTATCAACTGCCTCCGTGGCCGAACGGTTACCATGCCGGACTGCCACGCAGAGGTCCCAGGTTCGATTCCCGGGCCGGGAGAAATATTTGTATGGCCTACATTTATTTCTCTCGTGAGTTTGGGTGTAATTTGTGGTTGTCTATGTGTGTGTCCATGGCACCCGCGACACAGGGTTTCCCTAGTGCGGGGCTATGTTGAGTGTGAGCGTTATTATTATTATTATTATTATTATAGCCTCTCTAACAGAGGCCGTGAGTTTCAATCCGGGCTCGCACCTTTGAGTTTCCGGAAGTTATGTGCAAAGTTTAATTTTAAATTTACTATGAGCTTTTCAGTGAAGGAAAACTTTGTGAGGAAACCTGTAGGTCGAAAAAGGTTCACAGCCACAACCCACGGAAAATTGTGAAGTCCCCAAACCGTGGACTTTGAGCCAGGATAGACTATGCCTAAACCCTCGCCAGAGATGAGATCCGTGCCCAGCATTGGAACGTATAAACGGATTGATTATGTTCATATTTTTCGTGATATACTGTCATGCTATTTCTACAGACACTTATGATTCAGTCTGCGAGTATGTTGTATAAACCTACACACTCAAATAAGTTTGAGAAAAAATAGTTTCACTTCCTACTTATAATCTAAATTCAACCCTATGCGACTTACAATTAGAACGGTCTAAACACCAAAGGCTCAATTAACATTGATGCGGAATGGAATGGAAGTGAATGGAATGGAAGTTTAATGAACTTTATGTCAATTGTATAACTTACAAACTATACTTTTTTTTAACTATTAGACAAAAGTAAATTTTGATTCTTTTATCAGGTGTCGTTCAATCGCTGGGCAATTTACAAATATTGGGATAAATTGTTAACTTAATAACTAATAGGGCTTCAGTTCAAAGTCAAAATTTTGCAGGTTGTCTGTAGTACCTACTTCAAAAAAATATCTCCATATAAAAGTTACGTACAAAATTAGATAAATAATTAATTTTAGGCTTCTTCTTTAGCCTGTTTTTAGGATTTTATATGATCGGATAACGTACATCCTATCATGTAACACATTAGCACATTCCTTGGACAATATCCTTAGGTGTATCATATATTTTTAGTAAGACCATTATTTAAAGCAACTATTATTTTAACGTGATAATTTTACCATTTTTTGCTAGAGAAATATCTTAGGCGTTCATGCCACAAAACTATTTTGTTAACCATTGACTTACAATTATATGGACGTCGGCTCCGCGCTAAAAAGTGTCCGAACTTATAGGGCGTTAAAATCGTATACAGAGCGTCATTCACGCTTTAGTCTTCGTTTGTTCGATTGACAGCGAAGCAAGCAAAATTAGACAGTACTGCGATGACATTACAATTTAAATTCAACGTTTTAGCTTTTTCATATTCCTTTACATGTCACTACGTTTAAATAGGTTGACTTGGGACATTTTTTTCGTGGTTTTTGTATTAGACCCGTCGTCCATTTATTTGTAAGTCAATGTTGTTAACCCAAAAATAAGTTAACGATGACGATGATTTTAATATCTGGTTACCTAAAACAATACTACAGGGAAGATAACGCTATAATATATAATGTCATAGGTGCTTTTATCACATGAATGTCATAAAAATAATACGAATTACACAAAACATATATGTACCTAATTGTGAAAAACCTCTCTCCTCAAAAGTTGTAATTTTGCAGATGTGGACTTGTTACACCATATGTTGATGATATCATAATAAATTCTATTTATTTTGTAATTGTACGTGTAGGATTGACCATAAAATTAGTAGGAGTAGAGCTCCTTGATCTTTGACAGGGAACTCTTTCACACTTCCCTAAGTGTTGCCACCTTACTTATTTCTGCCACCAAGCAGTATTGTGTTCCGGTTTGGAAGGGTAATAGTGCTGGTGGAATTACAGGCACGTGAGACTTGTTAACTTATGTCTCAGGATGACGAGGGAAGTGGCAGTGCCCCTCAGATCTTTGCGATTTAAAACATTGAGTGGCACTGCAACTGCCATAGATAGGCGCAAAGGCGTGTCGCTTACCACCAGGCGCACGACTTGTTCGTCCCGTCTCTGGTACCATAGAAAACCCTGAGACAGGGTGACCGACGCAGTGGCAGATCTTTGCGATTTAAAGCTCTGAGTGGCACAGCAACTATTATGGATAGGCGTGTCGCTTATCAGCAGCCACACGACTTGTTTGTCCCGTCACTGGTGTCATAAAAAACCCTGAGACAGGGTGACGGACGCAGTGGCAGATCTTTGCGATTTCAAGCTCTGAGTGGCACTGCAACTGTTATGGATAGGCGTGTCGCTTATCACCCTTGTTAAAACAAAATGTTGTCTATACGCGTAAGATTATAAATGTATAATTGCAATGTTACGAAGGGTTGCAACACTCAGACAAACCTTGTCAGGCTTAAGAGTGCCAAGTAAAGATTAATGATTGTAATATGAGTAAATAAATAAATTAAAAAAAGAATAATGAGGTTACATTTCTACTAACTTCAGGTATTTTTTTGACTTTGAATGCTCTCATTATTTTGAAGCTGACTGTATTTTAGTAATATTACTATGAAGCATAAACTTTAAAAAAATTTGGACAAATTCCAATTATATAATATTAAATAATAACTGCCTCTGTGGCCAAACGATTACCATGCCTGACTGCCACGCAGAGGTCTCAGGTTCGATTCCCGGGCCGGGAGAAATATTTGTATGGCCTACATTTATTTCTCTTGCGGTTTGGGTGTAATTTGTGGTTGTCTGTGTGGCACCCGCGACACAGGGACAACATAGCGACACAGTGCGGCGCTATGTTGAGTGTGTGCGTTAAAAAAAAAAACAGCTATTATTAGTTGAATGATGAAACTGACTTTTGTTCAACACTATAACTAGCCATAGTAGCGAAGAATATGTTTTTAGACATTGTCCTCCTCTTGGTTGCGCCGTGGTCGGGTAAAAAGTTGTATTTAAACTTACCAAGGCAATGAGTGTCGAACTTCTCACGATTCTTTAAGGTTTTGCCACATTCGGTGCAAATGTACTTAACAGCCTCGTCAGCATCCGACTTCTGATGGCGATTGTACTTGACCCCAGTGTGGTTGCCCATGTGTTCGCGAAACTCAGATATTTGGTCAAATATTTGAAAACAGTTCGCGCATTGGTATTTCTTTTGGCGGGGAATAACATTGTCTTCGTTGTCATCTGCAAAAACAAATATTCGCTCACATACAAAGTATTCATCGCTATAAATCAAGCCACGTTTAAAAATGCTACAAGTGGCGCCATCTGTGCAAAGTTAAGCACATAGAAACAAAATAGATAAGAAAAAATTATATTAATAATTTGGCACAATTGAGCCAACTGAAAACTATACAAAAGGTCACTTTTTAAATAACATTTATTAAACTATATGCAATTCACATAGGTATATGTATATCGTAGCTTGGTCATGAATGTATCATAGCTTGACATTGGAGTTGGATTGTTAAGTCTTGGCATAGACTTGAAATAAAATCTCAAGTGTTATTAATAAATTATAAAAATACTTGTTTTCAACACAGAGTTCTGATTGTAAATACTTAGTGTGACCCACAATTTACTCAATTTTAGAGATAATATCACACTCTTTTATTTCTTAAAGTTCTAGTTTATAAGCAAAAAAGAACTTTAATACATATTATTATTTAAGTAATCCCTTTTCGTTCTTTTAATATAATTATAGATAATATTTCAAATATCGTAATAATCGTAAAATGTACTTGGTTGAATAAGATTTTTTTTTATAATAATAATGCACACATAGATTACCTTAGATTATGTACACATAGACCACAAATTACACCTAAACTCACAAGAGAAATAAATGTAGGCCATACAAATATTTTTTCCGGTCCTGGCCCTCTGCATTGCTGTCCAGTGTGGTAACCGTTCGACCACGGAGGCAGTCTACACTAATGGTTAATTATGCATTTTTAAAACAATAATAATCAGGGCAACAAAACTCATTCGCGGACACTGTACAGAACAATTTAAACATCGGGAATCGAACCGAGGACTTCTTCATTCAATGCCCACAATGCAAACTGTTTGCCACTGAGGTTTTCAATTAATGTTTAAACTCATTGATGGAATAGATTGACATGAGGTTCAGCATAAAATGTGAAGTAACTAGATAAATTGCATTATACACGATATATGCAGATTTGCTTAGTTTCCACTGTGCCACGACTTTTTTATGATATCAAGGACAGGGCGAACAAGTCATATGTCTGGTGGTAAGCAACACCCCTGTCCACATCAGTTGCAGTGCCACTCAAAGCCTTGAGTCAAAAAGATCTAAGGGACACCGCCACTGTGTCACCCTGAGACATAAGTTTACAAGTCCCACTGCCTGTAATTTCAAAAATTTTTTTTTTAATTACAAATTGATTGTACCTACTGTAGTTGAGAAACTTAATACAGATTTGATATGTGCATAATTAAGCCACTTTACACTATTTCAATATTTCTTTGAGTGCACCAATTATTACTGAATGTTGGATGAGGGTTTTTGGCATATCTGGTGACTGCTATGTACACTAAAAACAAATATTTGAGACTATGAAAAATATTCAATAAATATATACAATTACTTACAAACACTAACTTCATTGTCCACTTCACTAGCAAGGCCTGGGCACCCCACAGCCGGATCGTGATATGCAATTTGTTGGATAGTCTGTCCGTTACGTGGCTCTGGACCCAAATACAGTATTGTCTTCCTTTGCTTTGACATTGACTGGATATCTGATGACATCAACTGATTCAATGCCCCATTATCACTTTGAACATTGACATATTTCCGTTCCTTCATATCACGGTTTTGCTTCTCATTCATTATCTCCTCAGGTAAATGTGACAAAAAGACTCCGCATTCAAATTCATCTTCCTTATATATATTTAAGTCCGAAGATCTCACCGGCTGACAGCTCTCCTGCCTTTTCAACTTTACATCCTCAACTTCATCGTAAGAACTGTAACGGACTGCTTCCTTGTAATTATATACATTTTTTGTTATGTATGTGTTATGTTGTTCAAACATAATATGGCTAGTCCTTGTTTGAGTACACACTGAGTATTCCTGTGTTCCGGTTCCATCATACCGATTATAAACATATGGACTTGTAGCTGGATCTATCCACACTTGAGAGTCATATGGAGTAGTTGGCTTTTCCGTTATGATTATGGATATATTTTGATTGTCTTGGTCTTCAAGGGTCACTTCCTGAGGTTTATATTGCACATCATAGTCTCCTACCAGTTTGATATTACAGAAGCCATTGTAAATGCAAGTTTCATTACCTTCAGTGTCAGGAGACGTGATGTTCACCTCAATGAAAACATTATCGGATATCTCACAGTTGGTTTCAAGGTTCGTGAACTTCTTAGGAATACATAGAAGGGGATGTACCAGTTCTGTCTCCATCGTGGAACCGTTAAAGTCCGTTTTCGAATTTCAAACCTTAAGGAAAACATATTTTTTACGAAAATCTACGTACGTTATAATGTCTATTGCGAATTGAAGGTAAATTAAGAAAATTTATGGAAAATATCATGATAAATGCAGGGAATAAAACTTACCAAGAGTTGAGGCGGTGCCCGGAGAAAGCTGACGACATAAAGAACGATTAGAAGGTGCATTTGAATTCAGAATACAAATATTAAAACAACTACCCCCATTCAATTCACATTTTTATTATAATCGCGACGTTTGAATTTTTTGTAAACATTTTGTTAATTTAAACGAATGTATTTATGACATTTTGAAGAAATGTCAATTATTTGTCCAGGAGCTAAGGCATAAAATTATGATTACACGCGACCATGCTGTAAGTCATACAATGTATCATTTTTGTAGTTCTAAATTGAACGATATATAATGAAATAAGGTTTCATTTTCAATAAACAGTTTATAAAGCTTTAGTTGTAGTCCAGTCCACTATAACTTCAATGTGAATTGGTCAATACGAAAAAATTGGTGAATACGAAAAGTTGCAATTTTTTTCTCAATTTCTCAAGTTTCAATGAATAATTATTAATTACTCGTAAGTAGTTAGGTACGTATTGGAAATTGGTGTATGTAAATTGATATAATACGAGATGTGCTCGAAATAATGCGGCATGATTATTTTGATCTTCGTTAATCTTTGAGCGGTGCTTATTAATTTAAGACTTAAGAAAAACATCATGCAAAAATACTTCAACAAATTTTACCTCACTGTGAAACAAAGTGAGCTCCAGAACTATAATACAGGAAAATGGCGCGAGATACGGAGCAGGAATTTTAGTCATTTTAAGTGTTTTAAAGGGATGATTATTTTATTAATAATTTATGTACTTTCGTAAACCTTTAATATTAGTAACATAATTTATGTTTTATGTCGTATCTATTATATTCTTGATAAATAACGTAAAAACAATTCCAATCGCAATAGCCAAAGTTTTACTGCGGTCAGTTTGAAAGTGCGCATTTATTTAAAATGTTAGTTTTGTTTGTTGTTTAACGTAGGCGTAGGCAAATCGTAGGTATTATTTTTATTAAAACTATCTAACACACTATTATGGTTTATCAGTCAAAAAAATTGTTTACTATTGACTTTCAAGGTCACTTAGTCGCTATCGTTTAGCTTCTTTGTGTTCGTAACAAATACTAAGGCAAAGGACCGATAGCTTAAATAATTTTTAATATAAATAGAGACTTGTAATTAGATCGGGACACAGTTATTGCTTGAAAGTGTTTGAATTATGTCTTCCAAAGTGTTCTTAGCCTTCGTTGCCATCGGGCTCGTGCTTTCTACCGCGGGTAATATACAGCTTAAAAATAATCAATGTATTTTATAATATTTCATAGATTGTCTTAATGAGGCACTGTTACTTAAACTCTATGAAAATGTAAACCGGGCTAAAGATTTATGTTTTGTGCAAAAGAATTAAGTGCCAATTGGTATGTATGCAAGGCCACAATTTCAAAGTTAATTGCTCTTGCAAGTATACAAGGCGTTTATAACAAGTTAAAAAAAAATTGTATTAAGTGACGGGACGTACAAGTTGCAATGCCACTCAGAGCTTTAAATTGCAAAGATCTGAGGGGCACTGCCACTTCGTCCGTCACCCTGGGACATAAGTTGACAAGACCCGGTGCCTGTGATTTCACCAGCAACCTTACCCTTCAAAACCGGAACACAGTAATGCTGATATTACTGCTTCGCGGCAGAAATAAATAAGGTTGTAGCACTACCCAGGATGAACTCTTTCACGGCACTACTGTTAGTAAGAAGCGCATAATGGCAGGCTGGTAGGTCAATGGCTGTACTCAACGCATTGAAGCGATTACACACGGTGACTCTTAGCAGCGTGTGCAGGGAGTTAGTAGCTACCTATACAGTAGCGAATAGTTTATATAATTTTACATACAATCGCGATGCAGTCGCAGCTGCAATCATACGACGCAAAATA